ATAAAAGCTTATAAAAATACTTTAACCAAAAAAAGTTATACAAAATAGCTGATTTAATTTTCTACATTATATCCTAGAAAAATAATGATATCCAAAAATTACGCTAATTGAAAATAAAAACTTAAAATAATTTAACTAAAAAAAATTGTACAAAATAATTGTTTTAATTTCATACAAATAATATTAAAAAGTTGCGCCAACTGAATAAAAATTTTTACTATAAAATAGACATATTTCTTTTTTATTTTCAATATTAAAAGAAAAATGATATTAAATGAATTGTAATATATCTATTATAAAAAATCGAATTGAAAATATGAACAATCATATACATTGCAATAATCATATGCATATATCTTGAAAAGTTTAATTAAAAAAAAAAAGAAAATGATAATACAAAATACAAAATTAAAAATTATTAAAAAAATTAAAAATTAGAAATTAATAAATAAAAAATAAAAATTTATATAAAAATTAAAAATTAATACATATAAAAAAATTTTAGTTAAAAAACTTAGCGCTGCTAATTTCATTAGCACATTGTTCAACGTAGCAGCGCTAAGTTTTTTAACTAAAATTTTTTTATATGTATTAATTTTTAATTTTTGTAATTTGCAATTAACAATTCCATATTTTTTCTTAAACAACTGTATGTTTTCTTTACACCATTTGATTCTGCTTATTATTTTGTATGTAAAAGTATTAAGATAAAAGTATTAAGTATAAAAGTATTAAGATAAGATAATCGAAAAATTAATATTTTACTAGATATTTTACGACTTATGTAAAATTAAGAAATGATTTCAAGTCTCATAACTCGAAAACTACTTAATGAAAATTAACGTAATTATAGTGTTTTGGAAAGCTCTTGAGATGAGCTACAAGAATATGCAAAAGCATATAGGGTGTCCCATTTAAAAAGTTGGAGCTGACCTTCGCGTGTCCTTCAGGTGGCTCTTCAAGATCAAACTAATGACACCATCTTATGTCTCCCTTGAAACTATACAACTTTTGTCTGAAACATTTTTTTGTAGCTGGCGCGGTTTAGAAGAAATCGATGTCGAATCGACGTCGAATTGATGTAGATTCGATCAACATTTCTCACTGGATGAATTGTATACAAGATATGTACTTTGTACAATTTATTTTCATTTCTTGTAAGAAATTATTTTAAAGTTAATTATTTATATTAGTGTTACTGGGATGTTACAGTACAATTTAAAACATACATGTAAAACATTTCTTTTTGTTAACCTAATCTAGAAATCTTATTTAGAATATTCTCTAAACTTATTCAGTATTATATTCTATATTATAGTTATGACAATGCATATTGGAAATTAAAAGTTTATTAATAATATCTTAGAAGAAATCAAAATTGAATTGTATACAAGAAATGTACTGTGTACATTTATTTTCATTTCTTGTAAAAAATTATTTTAAAGTTAATTATTTATATTAGTGTGATTGGGATGTTTGAGATGACAGTACAATTTAGAACATACATATAAAAAAACATTTTTTTTTGTTAATCTAATCTGGAAATCTTATTCAGAATATTCTCTAAACTTATTCAGAATATTTAGAACATAATTTTATTTTTGACATTCTATGCAGATTTATAAACTACTTTTTTTTATTTCATTAAAATATTCACTGAAGGATATTTATAGAATAGATTTATATTGTCTGTGATATTCTTTAGTGAATATTCTAATAAAGTAAAAAATATATAAATGAATATGTGTTCTTACATCAACTATATATGAGGCTAAGTTGGTTGCGTACACTTTTTGTTCGAATATAAATTGTGTCAGAAGATAACAGTTTCTATATTATAGTTATGACAATGCATATTGGAAATTAAAAGTTTATTAATAATATGTTAGAAGGAATCAAAATTGAATTGTATACAAGAAATGTACTGTGTACATTTATTTTCATTTCTTGTAAAAAATTATTTTAAAGTTAATTATTTATATTAGTGTGATTGGGATGTTTGGGATGACAGTACAATTTAGAATACAATTTAGAATATATAAACAATTTAGAATTTAGAATATATAAAAGAACATTTTTTTTTGTTAATCTAATCTGGAAATCTTATTCAGAATATTTTCTAAACTTATTCAGAACATTTAAAACATAATTTTATTTTTGACATTCTATGCAGATTTATAAACTACTTTTTTTTTATTTCATTAAAATATTCTCTGAAGGATATTTATAGAATAGATTTGTATTGTCTGTGATATTCTTTAGTGAATATTGTATTAATGTAAAAAAAAGTATAATAAAGTAAAAAAAATGTATTTTATGATTCTACATAGAATGTCAAAATGAGATCATTCTAAATATTTTGAATAAATTAATTGTATAAAGTATGTATCTTGTGTACAATTTATTTTAGTTTTTTGTAACAAATTATTGATAGATTTTTTTTATTAATTTTCAGTGTGTATTATCATTGCTATTACTATAGACAGTTACTATAGAACTATCTTCCTGCAATGTATTTAAGGAGTAACGCCACACTAGCGCCCGAAAAAACCATTTTGACAATTTTTTATGAGAATATAGTGAATGGAATACACAATCTGTTTAAAGGTTTTTATTGTACATACTTTGAAATGTATTCACAAATTTTTTTTTCAATTTTTTTATATGTGAAGAGTATATATACAGGGTGACCCATTTTAACTTAGGCAGCCAAATAACTCGAAAAATAAGCACACTACGAAAAAATGGTTAGAATCAAAATTTCGTCATTTCGAGGGGGACGTACAATGACGTTAAAATCAGCCCCCCCACCCCTCCCCCTGGGCGGTGAGGGGGGGCAAGTTTGAAATCTTAAATGGAACCCCCTATTTTTCATTGCATATTCTTGTAGCTTGTCTCGAGAGCTTTCCAAAACACTATAATTAAGTACCTTTTTATTAAGTACTTTTTGAGTTATAAGGCTTGAAATAATTTCTTAATTTTACATAAACCATAAAATATCTAGTAAACCATTCATTTTTCGATTATCTTACCTTCATACTTTTATGTACAAAATAATGAGAGGAATCAATTGGTGTAAAGAAAACATACAGTTGTTTTTAAGAAAAAATATGGAATTGTTAATTGCAAATTACATATTTTTTCTTAGAAACAACTATGTGTTTTCTTTACACCAATTGATTCCTCTCATTATTTTGTACATAAAATTATGAAGGTAAGATAATCGAAAAATGAATGGTTTACTAGATATTTTGGTTTATGTAAAATTAAGAAATTATTTCAAGCCTTATAACTCAAAAAGTACTTAATAAAAAGGTACTTAATTATAGTGTTTTGGAAAGCTCTCGAGATAAGCTACAAGAATATGCAATGAAAAATAGGGGGTTCCATTTAAGATTTCAAACTTGCCCCCCCTCACCGCCCAGGGGGAGGGGTGGGGGGGCTGATTTTAACGTCATTGTACGTCCCCCTCGAAATGACGAAATTTTGATTCTAACCATTTTTTCGTAGTGTGCTTATTTTTCGAGTTATTTAGCTGCCTAAGTTAAAATGGGTCACCCTGTATATATATATATATATATATATATATATATATATATATATATATATATAACTTATATTAGAGTGGCTCTTATTTTATCGACTTCAGAATTTTTTATTCTTTTGTTTTAAAAATTAATTATGAATTGTAAAACTTATAACCTTTTATCTGGTATTTCGATAGATTAATGTACAGCAGTTTTAAATATATTGATTCACGAAAATTCTCATGATTTCAATATTTTTTTATAATTATTCATAATGGAAAAATATTCTATAAAATTAAAAAAATTAATTATAAATAAAATTAAAAAATTCATTACAAATTGTTATTTTTAACACTTATATTTTTTATTAGATACATCGACAGATTAATGTATGTTTTTACAGCATTGTTAAGTATATTAACTTATAAAATTCATCAACAAATGAGTCCTTTGTAATTAATTAAATTGTTGTTACATTTATTTATTAATATATGACTAAAATAATGAAACAAATTCGAAGTCAGCAAAATAAAAGTTACTTACCACTAAACATGAAATAAATATGGAATGTTTCAATATGCTTCATATAGATTTCAAATGAAACGTTTCATGTCTATGTTTATAATATAATTCATAAGTGTCACAACTAAAATGTTTCATAGTCAGAAATATTTCAAATGAAATATCGCAGTTGATATGTATCTGAAATATTCCAAAATTATATTTCATGTATATTTGCAAATGATGTAATTCATAAGTGTTACAAACATTTTATTTTTGCTTATTTCAGAAATATTTCAAATAAGATATTTCAATTGATACGTTTCGGAAATATTCCGAAATTATGTTTCATGTAGCTTTACAAATGATATAACTCATGAGTGCTACAATTGAAACATTTTATTATTGCTTATGTCAGAAATATTTTAAATAAAATATTTCAGTTGATATATATATCAAAAATATTTGGAAGTTACGTTTTATGTACATTTACAAATGATTCATGAGTGTTATAATTGAAATATTTCACTGTTGCTATGTTATAAATATTTCAAATGAAATATCTCAGTTAATATGTAAACGAAATATTTTGAAGTTAATATGTTCGTGTATATTTACAAAATAATAGTAAAATAAACATATCAAAATTAATAATATTATAAAATTAGTATAAAATTTTCTAATTTTAATAAAATAAAATGCTTTTTAAAGTTTTTATGTTATATATATTTATTTTATTTTTATACATTACGTGAGATAAAAATGCAGCTTAAAATTTTTATTTAGATTATTGAAATTTTCAACAAAAGCATTTTTTTAATTTTCGCGGAATAGATGGTATATGCGTAGTTCGCGTCAGCGCATACGCAATACGCACGCCCGCCACATCACAATGGGTCTGTTCGTTTTAGCTGCACTGCTGCACTAGTGCAATAAGTTAGAAAGCGACGAACATACTTCACTCCAACTAATTGCACTAGTGCAGCAGTGCAGCTAAAACGAACAGACCCAATGGTACAATATGTTTCGATCACCAAATCTGCACGTGCGTGTATATTCGTGAATAAGAAAAAGTTCAAGAAAGGCAAGTTCAAGAATACAGTGATTATATATTATATATATTATTTAATGTGACAACTTATTTGATGACTTATGTGTATGACAAAAAATTATTAATATGCCAGAAAATATTGCATGTTCCAGTAACCAATCTATTCCGGTATGTATTATTTATCTACATTATATATATTATTATTGCAATCACTTTTATAAAATTTTATTTATATTTTATCAACGCAAAAATAAATTTTATATTACACATGATTTATTATTAACACATGTAGATTTTAACACAAGTATTATTCTTATAGGTTAGGTATTTTTTAAGTTATTTAGCAAAGTTTAATATAAAATTATTAATTAATATTTACATTTACATAATGTATAGTTAGTTTTAAGTTTTCATTATTTTTTCTTCTTCTTTTGAAGTAAAAAAATATATACATATATATATATATATATATATATATTGTGTGTGTGTGTGTATGTATATATATATATATATATATATATATATATAAAAAAAAAAAAAAAAAAAAAAAAAAAAAAAAATATATATATTTTTTTTTTTTTTTTTTTTTTTTTTATATATATATATATATATATAGATATTTTATTGTATGTGTATAAAAATATGAGAACTTTTAGATGGAAAATAAGAAAAAACGTGTTTGAAATGCAATATATCTTTTTAATTGTAGCTTAAGAAATTAACGATATAAATAACAAAACAATAAGATTAACATATAAATATAAGTGTATAATTAAAAATAAACAATGTGTAGCAGATATATTTCATAATTTAAACTTTTTTATATATACATCACTCTGTATACATTATTATACGATCTTACAAAAATTATTTTTTTATTTTGAAGTGTTTTATTATTAATAAGTAAAGTATAGTGTGTTGTACACTTTTTATATATACATATATTTTTTATCCACAGGTACAAGAAAGAAAAAAGAAAGGCCTATCAAAGGTAACAAGCAGACATTTACGTAGAATGGTACATAATGAATTTTGTAAGATCAGAAAACAACAAAATATTAATGAAACACAATGCACTTCTTATGAAATAAGTGAAAATTTTTCAACTAATGATGACACAGATAATATCGATATTTGCAATAATGTACAGATTTATAATAATATAAGTAACTCTCTTAAATTAACAGAAACTAAATACATTAATATTGATAAGAATAATATGTTTCAAACACAAAATAAAATTAGTTTGGCAGACAAGATAGCATATTGGACTGTTACTAATAATATATCACATAATTCAGTAAATAAATTATTAGCAATATTGAGATCAGAAAATCTTCCTCTTCCAAAAGATTGTAGAACATTAGTCAAAACTCCGTTAGCCTCTAATAATATTATAGATATGCCACCTGGTGCATACATTCATTTTGGAATCGAGAAAGGTATATCCCATAAAATACATCAGAGTGTAGTAGAAAAAAAATTGGACTTTCTTCCCCATTAACAGTTATTATAGATGGCTTACCATTAAATAAATCTTCAAACAGTCAATTTTGGCCGATTTTAATGTCTATTGATATTACAGAATTTGCAGAACCTTTTATAGTAGGCATTTATCATGGAATGAAAAAATGCATTTGTTAAAGAATATTTATTGTTAAAAAAAATGGTATTGTTATAAACAATAAATTAATTAGATTACAATTAAAGAAAATTATTTGCGATGCACCAGCTACAGCATTTGTTCTTGCAATAAAGTCTCACACAGGATATTTTAGTTGTAATAAATGTATGCAAAGAGGCAAATATATAAGAGGCAAAATGACATTCCCAGAGCTTAATGCAACTTTACGAACTGACAAAGACTTTATACTACAAACACAGCAAGAACATCATAAAGGTAACTCTCCATTAGAAAAAATTGGTATTGGTTTGGTCAGTAATGTACCACTCGACTATATGTATCTTGTGTGTCTTGGTATAATGAAATTACTTTTAATGATTTGGTTGGGAAAAAAAGGAAAAAAATGTATGAAATTAAAAGATGACAAAATTAAAGCAATATCAAAAACTATGAAAATTTTTAGAAGAGATATTCCTCAAGAATTTTGTCGTTTACCAAGATCTGTAGAAGACGTAGAACATTGGAAAGCGACAGACAATTTTTATTATATGCAGGTCCTGTTGTAATGAAAGGAAAATTGTCTAAAATACAGTATAAACATTTTTTTGTGTTTACACGTCGCTATCAGAATTTTGTGTTCAGTTAAATGTATTAGTCTTAATGTATTAATCTCAATAGATATACCAAATCTTCAATTAGATATTTTATTATAAGATATAAAAAGATATATGGTAGCGAATATATAACGTACAACGTGCATAATCTCCTACATCTTTGTGATGATGTGTTATTATATGGACAACTTGATAATTTTTCCGCTTTTAAATTTGAAAGTTACATGAGTAAAATTAAAAGAAGAATGAAAAATTCAAGATATCCTTTACAACAAATATACAATAGAGTTATTGAAGATAGAAAGTTACTTTATATTGAAAAGATTTATATAATTTTCCATTTGTTCAAGAAGATAATATTTCTTTAGTATGGAATGAAAATGGAAAAACTTATACCTATTACAGGAAACTTACTTATGAGAATTTTACATTTTCATTATGTCAGAGAAATAATTGTGTTCTTTTAAAAAATTTAAGTTATATGTTAATTTCGAACATTTATAAAAATAATAATAATAATAACATAAAAATAGTCGGAAAAATTTTGCAAAATATTTCTAATTTTGTAAAAAAACCTTCATTTTGCTTAGCTATCAAAATTATTGACATTCATGAAATATCAGAAATATTAACATATGATGTTAAAGACATTCTAGCAAAATGTGTAATCCTACCATTTAATAATAATAAATTTGTGGTAATTCCAATATTGCATAGAAATTACTAGTATTAATATCTATTGCATATAAAGTATATTTGTGTAATATGTTTTTAATTATTATAAATTAAATTTTATTATTATGCTTTATAATTCTTTTTTCTTCATAATTTATGATATTTATGATACTTAATTATAAATAATACTGAATTATTAAATATGTTACGTATATAATTGTATATACGTAACATATTTAATAATTCAGTATTATTTATAATTAACGTATACTTATATATAATTTTAATACTTTAGTTAAAAACTACTTACTTTTATTAAAAATATATGTAAAATAATATTTATGTGTTTCATAACAATAGTTTTCTGATCTTTTAAAATAATATATGTATTATTACTATAAAATTATCCATTTATAAGATTGCCAAGATTGAGTAAGTTTGCAAGCATAATTTTGAAAGAAATATGTATTTTCTATAGCAAAATGCATTGTATTCTGTTGTTAAATTTAATGTTGAATTTAATGATGAAGAAAATGAAACATACTCCGTAATTCCAACCTTTTGGTTAAAAGATAAGTACACTTATTGGCCAAAAAAAGATGTACGTAAGTGCATTATAAAACGCAAAACACCACATAATGATTGGACTCTTTATCCAGTTACTATTATTGGTAAATATGGTATGTATTTGATTATATTTATATATTGATAATATTAATTAAATTTTTACACGTACACTCACACACCCACTCATCCATCCACCCACTCACCCACATACAACACACATACACGCGCGCGCAGTAGGTACACATATACAAAAATAAATAGTATTTGTAATTAAAAAACTTCTTATGAATAATTATATAAAAAATAGCAAATGTTTTTAATAGTAAATGTTTTTAAAAAATTGATTGTATATTTCAGATTCATATGAACAGGCTCTACAAAAAGAAAAAATGATGGATGACAAAAATACAGAATCAGAAAATAATTTAGGCCGCGGATTTAGGCAGAAAAAACTTTCACATTTTCTTGCAGAAGAGAATGATAATTTTTATTGTGGAAAGATTAGTTGTCTTTAATTACTATCTTTAATTACTTATTGTTAAGTCAATTTATTTTTATATTGATATTGATAAATTATATAATTTCTATATAATTTTATATAATTTTAGTTAATTCAAGTGATTCAAGTATGACTGATGAACAAGAAAACAGTGATAATTCAATTCCTGATTTGGATGAAACTTTACATGAACAATGTATGATTATATTAATAGACTTTAGTATTATAAACCTTCTTAAATATAAAACATGCATATACATCTTTGTAAAAAAACGTGTTTATTACTAATATATTTATACTGTTTGTACACATACATTTGTAAGACATAATTTGTTTAAATTATATTTTTTGATACAAAAAATTTTTCAGATAATGATGGCAATAAAAGTGTCTATGATGAGATTTATTTAGATATTGATAAAATTCCTGTTGTCATAGATGATACAAGAAATAATACTAATATTCCTACAGATAATAATAGTAAGTTTTATTTTTATGTTCTTGTATGTTAATATTTTAAAGAAAAAAACTTCACTAAAAAAATAAGCAAGATTTTTATATAAATTATTAAAAAAATTGCGCATAAAAATATTTATATAAAAATTATATATAACTTTTATTAGAAGATTATATATTGATACAAAATACATATATGTTTATCAATGTTGAAATTAATTTATAAAAGAGACATGGAGGATACTGAATATTAATATAATAAATATATTTTGTTTCAGTTAATGGAACTCTTAGTTCTATACTACGATATGTTATTGAAATTAAAATTATATGTAAACAATTAGAAGAACGTTTACATATTTTGGAAAATGCTAATCACACTGCAAATACTCATCATAATACTAATATGCTTCCACACTTACCAATGAATGAAATTAATAGAAGATATTAATAATTTTGAAGTCATATTAGCATCAGAAGAGACACAATCACAGTTGGTATGCATTAATATTACTATTTAAACACTTTAATGTTATTTATAACAAAAAATGAGAGATATAAATCAGATATCATTCCAGATATATATAATATACATATATATATATATATATATATATATATATATGTATGTATACACACACGTGTGTGTGTGTGTATTGTATATATAGTATATATATATATATATATATATATATATATATATATGTACACACATATACTTGTTACAAAATAAATACAACAAATTAATTACATATTGTATATAAAATTTATATTAATTTACATGTAAAATTATGTAAAAGATATCTGATAAACATATCAAATATCTTTCACTGTATAAATAAGAACAAATATATATAATTCATAAAAAATTTTGATGTAGGTCAGTATGTTAGTCATGATTAGTGGTGTTACAACAAAAGATGCACTAAAAAGAGCATTACAAAAATTATTTTCCAACAATCTTGCTTCCCAATGTTCTTGGACCGGGGCTAAAGATAATTTTAAATTAAAAGACTTAAAAATTATTACTTGTATAAAAAGTAAGTAACAATATATATATATAGATATATGTATTACTTTATCCAGAAAGTTCTACAAAATAAATATCTTGAAAATGTCTAAAAAACAACGCCCCTTTAATAAGTCATTTCTTAGTCATCTTCTAAAAATATATCTGATACATATTTGTTATATCCTATTTTTCAAATTATATTATTTAATTTTTTTTTAATAAATAGTATGAAAGTGAAATTTAAAATCTCATATTATATATTTTAACTGCTATCAAAAAAACTTGTCCTACTATTACGGAAGCGGAATTCGAAGAAATTTTAAAAACCTGGTTCAGACAAGCTTCAGAGAGCAATTTACGATTAACTCGTGAAAAAGCGAAAAATAAAACGCAAAATAACACAAACAATACAAACAACACAATCATAAAAAAACATATAAATATATATTTTTGCTCTAATTCGAAAAACTTTATAAATTGTGATTTGATTTTTTTTTATTATTTATTATTTGTTTTTTTTTATTTACGATTTTTTTTATCCGAGAAAATGATACAAATAATATTTTGTTCACTTAGTGTTCCAAAATAAATTCGTATCAATTTCTCGGATAAAAAAAATCATAAATAAAAAAAAACAAATAATAAATAATAAAAAAAATAAAATCACAATTTATAAAGTCTTTCGAATTAGAGCAATTTTTCGCTTTTTCACGAGTTAATCGTAAATTAGCTTGTCTGAACCAGGTTTTTAAAATTTCTTCGAATTCCGCTTCCGTAGTAGTAGGACAAGTTTTTTTGATAGCAGCTAAAATATATAATATGAGATTTTAAACTTCACTTTCATACTATTTATTTAAAAAAAAATTAAATAATATAATTTGAAAAATAGGACAAATATGCATCAGATATATTTTTAGAAGATGACTAAGAAATGTTATATATATTTGTTCTTATTAAAGGGGCGTTGTTTTTTAGACATTTTCAAGATATTTATTTTGTAGAACTTTCTGGATAAAGTAATACATATATCTATATATATATATTGTTACTTACTTTTTATACAAGTAATAATTTTTAAGTCTTTTAATTTAAAATTATCTTTAGCCCCGGTCCAAGAACATTGGGAAGCAAGATTGTTGGAAAATAATTTTTGTAATGCTCTTTTTAGTGCATCTTTTGTTGTAACACCACTAATCATGACTAACATACTGACCTACAACAAAATTTTTTATGAATTATATATATTTGTTCTTATTTATACAGTGAAAGATATTTGATATGTTTATCAGATATCTTTTACATAATTTTACATGTAAATTAATATAAATTTTATATACAATATGTAATTAATTTGTTGTATTTATTTTGTAACAAGTATATGTGTGTACATACATATATATATATATATATATATATATATATATATATATGTATATTATATATATCTGGAATGATATCTGATTTATATCTCTCATTTTTTGTTATAAATAACATTAAAGTGTTTAAATAGTAATATTAATGCATACCAACTGTGATTGTGTCTCTTCTGATGCTAATATGACTTCAAAATTATTAATATCTTCTATTAATTTCATTCATTGGTAAGTGTGGAAGCATATTAGTATTATGATGAGTATTTGCAGTGTGATTAGCATTTTCCAAAATATGTAAACGTTCTTCTAATTGTTTACATATAATTTTAATTTCAATAACATATCGTAGTATAGAACTAAGAGTTCCATTAACTGAAACAAAATATATTTATTATATTAATATTCAGTATCCTCCATGTCTCTTTTATAAATTAATTTCAACATTGATAAACATATATGTATTTTGTATCAATATATAATCTTCTAATAAAAGTTATATATAATTTTTATATAAATATTTTTATGCGCAATTTTTTTAATAATTTATATAAAAATCTTGCTTATTTTTTTAGTGAAGTTTTTTTCTTTAAAATATTAACATACAAGAACATAAAAATAAAACTTACTATTATTATCTGTAGGAATATTAGTATTATTTCTTGTATCATCTATGACAACAGGAATTTTATCAATATCTAAATAAATCTCATCATAGACACTTTTATTGCCATCATTATCTGAAAAATTTTTTGTATCAAAAAATATAATTTAAACAAATTATGTCTTACAAATGTATGTGTACAAACAGTATAAATATATTAGTAATAAACACGTTTTTTTACAAAGATGTATATGCATGTTTTATATTTAAGAAGGTTTATAATACTAAAGTCTATTAATATAATCATACATTGTTCATGTAAAGTTTCATCCAAATCAGGAATTGAATTATCACTGTTTTCTTGTTCATCAGTCATACTTGAATCACTTGAATTAACTAAAATTATATAAAATTATATAGAAATTATATAATTTATCAATATCAATATAAAAATAAATTGACTTAACAATAAGTAATTAAAGATAGTAATTAAAGACAACTAATCTTTCCACAATAAAAATTATCATTCTCTTCTGCAAGAAAATGTGAAAGTTTTTTCTGCCTAAATCCGCGGCCTAAATTATTTTCTGATTCTGTATTTTTGTCATCCATCATTTTTTCTTTTTGTAGAGCCTGTTCATATGAATCTGAAATATACAATCAATTTTTTAAAAACATTTACTATTAAAAACATTTGCTATTTTTTATATAATTATTCATAAGAAGTTTTTTAATTACAAATACTATTTATTTTTGTATATGTGTACCTACTGCGCGCGCGTGTATGTGTGTTGTATGTGGGTGAGTGGGTGGATGGATGAGTGGGTGTGTGAGTGTACGTGTAAAAATTTAATTAATATTATCAATATATAAATATAATCAAATACATACCATATTTACCAATAATAGTAACTGGATAAAGAGTCCAATCATTATGTGGTGTTTTGCGTTTTATAATGCACTTACGTACATCTTTTTTTGGCCAATAAGTGTACTTATCTTTTAACCAAAAGGTTGGAATTACGGAGTATGTTTCATTTTCTTCATCATTAAATTCAACATTAAATTTAACAACAGAATACAATGCATTTTGCTATAGAAAATACATATTTCTTTCAAAATTATGCTTGCAAACTTACTCAATCTTGGCAATCTTATAAATGGATAATTTTATAGTAATAATACATATATTATTTTAAAAGATCAGAAAACTATTGTTATGAAACACATAAATATTATTTTACATATATTTTTAATAAAAGTAAGTAGTTTTTAACTAAAGTATTAAAATTATATATAAGTATACGTTAATTATAAATAATACTGAATTATTAAATATGTTACGTATATACAATTATATACGTAACATATTTAATAATTCAGTATTATTTATAATTAAGTATCATAAATATCATAAATTATGAAGAAAAAAGAATTATAAAGCATAATAATAAAATTTAATTTATAATAATTAAAAACATATTACACAAATATACTTTATATGCAATAGATATTAATACTAGTAATTTCTATGCAATATTGGAATTACCACAAATTTATTATTATTAAATGGTAGGATTACACATTTTGCTAGAATGTCTTTAACATCATATGTTAATATTTCTGATATTTCATGAATGTCAATAATTTTGATAGCTAAGCAAAATGAAGGTTTTTTTTACAAAATTAGAAATATTTTGCAAAATTTTTCCGACTATTTTTATGTTATTATTATTATTATTTTTATAAATGTTCGAAATTAACATATAACTTAAATTTTTTAAAAGAACACAATTATTTCTCTGACATAATGAAAATGTAAAATTCTCATAAGTAAGTTTCCTGTAATAGGTATAAGTTTTTCCATTTTCATTCCATACTAAAGAAATATTATCTTCTTGAACAAATGGAAAATTATATAAATCTTTTCAATATAAAGTAACTTTCTATCTTCAATAACTCTATTGTATATTTGTTGTAAAGGATATCTTGAATTTTTCATTCTTCTTTTAATTTTACTCATGTAACTTTCAAATTTAAAAGCGGAAAAATTATCAAGTTGTCCATATAATAACACATCATCACAAAGATGTAGGAGATTATGCACGTTGTACGTTATATATTCGCTACCATATATCTTTTTATATCTTATAATAAAATATCTAATTGAAGATTTGGTATATCTATTGAGATTAATACATTAAGACTAATACATTTAACTGAACACAAAATTCTGATAGCGACGTGTAAACACAAAAAAATGTTTATACTGTATTTTAGACAATTTTCCTTTCATTACAACAGGACCTGCATATAATAAAAATTGTCTGTCGCTTTCCAATGTTCTACGTCTTCTACAGATCTTGGTAAACGACAAAATTCTTGAGGAATATCTCTTCTAAAAATTTTCATAGTTTTTGATATTGCTTTAATTTTGTCATCTTTTAATTTCATACATTTTTTTCCTTTTTTTCCCAACCAAATCATTAAAAGTAATTTCATTATACCAAGACACACAAGATACATATAGTCGAGTGGTACATTACTGACCAAACCAATACCAATTTTTTCTAATGGAGAGTTACCTTTATGATGTTCTTGCTGTGTTTGTAGTATAAAGTCTTTGTCAGTTCGTAAAGTTGCATTAAGCTCTGGGAATGTCATTTTGCCTCTTATATATTTGCCTCTTTGCATACATTTATTACAACTAAAATATCCTGTGTGAGACTTTATTGCAAGAACAAATGCTGTAGCTGGTGCATCGCAAATAATTTTCTTTAATTGTAATCTAATTAATTTATTGTTTATAACAATACCATTTTTTTTAACAATAAATATTCTTTAACAAATGCATTTTTTCATTCCATGATAAATGCCTACTATAAAAGGTTCTGCAAATTCTGTAATATCAATAGACATTAAAATCGGCCAAAATTGACTGTTTGAAGATTTATTTAATGGTAAGCCATCTATAATAACTGTTAATGGGGAAGAAAGTCCAATTTTTTTTCTACTACACTCTGATGTATTTTATGGGATATACCTTTCTCGATTCCAAAATGAATGTATGCACCAGGTGGCATATCTATAATATTATTAGAGGCTAACGGAGTTTTGACTAATGTTCTACAATCTTTTGGAAGAGGAAGATTTTCTGATCTCAATATTGCTAATAATTTATTTACTGAATTATGTGATATATTATTAGTAACAGTCCAATATGCTATCTTGTCTGCCAAACTAATTTTATTTTGTGTTTGAAACATATTATTCTTATCAATATTAATGTATTTAGTTTCTGTTAATTTAAGAGAGTTACTTATATTATTATAAATCTGTACATTATTGCAAATATCGATATTATCTGTGTCATCATTAGTTGAAAAATTTTCACTTATTTCATAAGAAGTGCATTGTGTTTCATTAATATTTTGTTGTTTTCTAATCTTACAAAATTCATTATGTACCATTCTACGTAAATGTCTGCTTGTTACCTTTGATAGGCCTTTCTTTTTTCTTTCTTGTACCTGTGGATAAAAAATATATGTATATATAAAAAGTGTACAACACACTATACTTTACTTATTAATAATAAAACACTTCAAAATAAAAAAATAATTTTTGTAAGATCGTATAATAATGTATACAGAGTGATGTATATATAAAAAAGTTTAAATTATGAAATATATCTGCTACACATTGTTTATTTTTAATTATACACTTATATTTATATTTTAATCTTATTGTTTTGTTATTTATATCGTTAATTTCTTAAGCTACAATTAAAAAGATATATTGCATTTCAAACACGTTTTTTCTTATTTTCCATCTAAAAGTTCTCATATTTTTTATACACATACAATAAAATATCTCTATATATATATATATATATATATATATATATATATATATATACACATACACACACATATATATATATATATATATATATATATGTATATATTTTTTTACTTCAAAAGAAGAAGAAAAAATAATGAAAACTTAAAACTAACTATACATTATGTAAATGTAAATATTAATTAATAATTTTATATTAAACTTTGCTAAATAACTTAAAAAATACCTAACCTATAAGAATAATACTTGTGTTAAAATCTACATGTGTTAATAATAAATCATGTGTAATATAAAATTTATTTTTGCGTTGATAAAATATAAATAAAATTTTATAAAAGTGATTGCAATAATAATATATATAATGTAGATAAATAATACATACCGGAATAGATTGGTTACTGGAACATGCAATATTTTCTGGCATATTAATAATTTTTTGTCATACACATAAGTCATCAAATAAGTTGTCACATTAAATAATATATATAATATATAATCACTGTATTCTTGAACTTGCCTTTCTTGAACTTTTTCTTATTCACGAATATACACGCACGTGCAGATTTGTTGATCGAAATATGTTGTACCAGAGAGAAGCCTGAGAGGGGCCATGCTGCCATTTTTGAGGGAACGCTTTCCCTACGTCGTACACTAGCTTATTTTTTTAGTGAAGTTTTTTTCTTTAAAATATTAACATACAAGAACATAAAAATAAAACTTACTATTATTATCCGTAGGAATATTAGTATTATTTCTTGTATCATCTATGACAACAGGAATTTTATCAATATCTAAATAAATCTCATCATAGACACTTTTATTGCCATCATTATCTGAAAAATTTTTTGTATCAAAAAATATAATTTAAACAAATTATGTCTTACAAATGTATGTGTACAAACAGTATAAATATATTAGTAATAAACACGTTTTTTTACAAAGATATATATGCATGTTTTATATTTAAGAAGGTTTATAATACTAAAGTCTATTAATATAATCATATATTGTTCATGTAAAGTTTCATCCAAATCAGGAATTGAATTATCACTGTTTTCTTGTTCATCAGTCATACTTGAATCACTTGAATTAACTAAAATTATATAAAATTATATAGAAATTATATAATTTATCAATATCAATATAAAAATAAATTGACTTAACAATAAGTAATTAAAGATAGTAATTAAAGACAACTAATCTTTCCACAATAAAAATTATCATTCTCTTCTGCAAGAAAATGTGAAAATTTTTTCTGCCTAAATCCGCGGCCTAAATTATTTTCTGATTCTGTATTTTTGTCATTCATCATTTTTTCTTTTTGTAGAGCCTGTTCATATGAATCTGAAATATACAATCAATTTTTTAAAAACATTTACTATTAAAAACATTTGCTATTTTTTATATAATTATTCATAAGAAGTTTTTTAATTACAAATACTATTTATTTTTGTATATGTGTACCTACTGCGCGCGCGTGTATGTGTGTTGTATGTGAGTGAGTGGGTGGATGGATGAGTGGGTGTGTGAGTGTACGTGTAAAAATTTAATTAATATTATCAATATATAAATATAATCAAATACATACCATATTTACCAATAATAGTAACTGGATAAAGAGTCCAATCATTATGTGGTGTTTGAAAAACCATTCATTTTTCAATTATCTTACCTTGATATTTTTATATACAAAATAATGAGAAGAATCAATTGGTGTAAAGAAAACATACAGTTGTTTTTAAGAAAAAATATGGAATTGTTAATTGCAAATTACATATTTTTTCTTAGAAACAACTATGTGTTTTCTTTACACCAATTGATTCCTCTCATTATTTTGTACATAAAAGTATCAAGGTAAGATAATCGAAAAATGAATGGTTTACTAGATATTTTATAGTTTATGTAAAATTAAGAAATTATTTCAAGCCTTATAACTCAAAAAGTACTTAATGAAAAGGTACTTAATTATAGTGTTTCGGAAAGCTCTCGAGATAAGCTACAAGAATATGCAATGAAAAATAGGGGGTTCCATTTAAGAAATTGAAGGTAACCTTTATATGACCTTCAAATGACTATCTTAGGTCAAATTTTTGCCACCTATCTTTTGTCCCCCTCGAAGTCAAGCAACTTTCATTTGAAACATTTTGTTATACATTCAAATATAAAAAAGTTATTGGGGTGGATAAATTAAAATGGCTCACCCTGTATATATATGTATATATGTATATATTTTTTTACTTTAAAAGAAGAAGAAAAAATAAAACTTAAAACTAACTATACATTATGTAAATGTAAATATTAATTAATAATTTTATATTAAACTTTGCTAAATAACTTAAAAAACACCTAACCTATAAGAATAATACTTGTGTTAAAATCTACATGTGTTAATAATAAATCATGTGTAATATAAAATTTATTTTTGCGTTGATAAAATATAAATAAAATTTTATAAAAGTGATTGCAATAATAATATATATAATGTAGATAAATAATACATACCGGAATAGATTGGTTACTGGAACATGCAATATTTTCTGACATATTAATAATTTTTTTGTCATACACATCAAATAAGTTGTCACATTAAATAATATATTGTCACGTCCGGCGATCCATAGATCCTTAGATCTAGGAGAAATTTTTTCCTTTTTTCACTATCCTCCATCCAATAAGCTACAAGCACAAACTAACATGAAACTAAGAGAGACACGCTTATACGTCACCTATATAATAAAATACTAATCTGAGAGAGAGATATATATATATCTATATATATATATGTATATGAATCATCTATACGAGCGAGATAGACTTATGTGTAATACTTAGGAAAGACAAGGACCGATATAAGGAAGTCCTTTTAAATATAAGCTTCTTTTATATAAATATATTGTAAAACATGTCCAAAGATTAGAGAGAATCTATTTATGTAAAAATCATGATAAATGACCAATATTTTAAATAATCAAATAGTTATTGTAATTCTTTGGAAAGGGTCATTTATCGTAATTTATGTAAGACACGACCTTGCAAGCAATGCATTCAGAGAACCAACTAATATGTATTCTTAGAAAAACTTTCTCTTAAGGACCACCCAAGAAGTTCGCAAAAATCCGTTTCATAGCTAAAGAATTTGTTCTTAAAACTCCATCATAAATTACCCCTACTATTCAATTTTAAAAGAGTATAAAAACTCTTCCAACAACGGAACAAGAGCTCTGTTCAACCTCATTCTTGCTCAGTTTTAGATCAGTCAGTTCAGATTCACTCTGGACTTAAACCCACTCAGATTCTTATTCGTACTGTAAACTGCTAGAGCAATTCAAGTCGGAATAAAGTGTTTAAATTTTAAACAAAAGTATATTTCTTTAATCATCATCAATAAAGAAAACCCAATTCAAAGCAGTTAATTATCCTGGGGTTTTACCCCCTTAACCGCAAGAAAAAGAACCCACAACTAAGACGTTCTGTCGAACTCGGAAAACTGTTGGAAAAGCCTGCCTCATGGAACCAACAGATTGACGTTACCAGAACGTCACAATATATAATATATAATCATTGTATTCTTGAACTTGCCTTTCTTGAACTTTTTCTTATTCACGAATATACACGCACGTGCAGATTTGTTGATCGAAATATGTTGTACCAGAGAGAAGCCTGAGAGGGGCCATGCTGCCATTTTTGAGGGAACGCTTTCCCTACGTCGTACACTAGCGGTGCGTACATCCATTTTACGGCACCTGGGAACTACATGGCCACATCCACTTTTGGTGTCGATAAAACAGTCGATTTTGGTTCATGTCCGTGCTACATCTACAATTTGTAGATCAAAAATAGTTCCGCATATAGATATAATTTAATGTATTTTTTTTAGTTGCGCGATTTCATTTTCATTAAAGCATACATTATAAATGTCAATGGTATTAATGAAATAAGTTTATGTTTATATAAATACATATGTATGTGTATAGAATATATGCTATTCTCGAGATATAAGAACAGAAAAAATAAATTATATATATAAACTTCTCAGTAAATTGAATTTTATTTAAGACGATTGTAGAATAGAGACAATTTTTTCAGATTAATAATTTCAGAAAACTTTTCTCTATGGTTTTGTAATCTGAAATGTTATGCACAATAAAATATACATCTTTTAAATATAATCCAAGACATCTTAATTAAAAATTATTTTTCCCTTTTTCTAAAAAGTAAAAGCATATTAATCATAAAAAAAGCGATACGAAATGATAATGTTAATTTTGAAAAATATTAACACATCTTATGTAAATATAGCATAAGTACCGAAATTATAGAAACTGACATTAATAGTGCGTGGTGGCTGAATGTTAAAGCGTTCGGTACCTCACGACGCGGATCACGGTTCGAATCCCATGTTTTTTTTGTTTTACTATTTTTCAAGTTTCTGGTATATTATTACATACATTTATAAATGTGATTATATTTTACAAAAAAAGGATATTTAAATTATACTTACATTTAAATTATACTAAATATAGTTATTATATAATAAGCAATACAGTATCATTAGAAACATATATTTATGTGTGTTATTTAATATTATTTATAACAGTAATTTAATATTATTTATAACAGTTATTTAATATTATTTATAACAGTAAATGTACAATAACTGATTTAAAAATTTAATGAACAGTTTAAAAGGCGAATTTGTTTATATATATATACAAATTTGCCTTTTAAACTGCCCATTAAATTTTTAAATGTTTTTTTTTTTTTTTTTACGTGGGGAAAATCTTCCAAAGACACCCTCGATTCCAAGGAAGGAAATCGAGGGTAGTGTGGGATTTTTACCCACTAAAACCCCCACGGTAGCCTACTTGTCCTGTATAATTTTAAAGATGGGATGTGGCCACATTATCCCATCATTACCCATGAATAGAAAAATTATCCATCTTGGAAACTGAAAATATACTAAATGGAATTAGTGTGTATAAATTATTTCTTCAAAAACAGCATAGAAAAATAAATATTATTATGCAACAACATATTTCAAACAAAGTTATTATATTAAATAATCTATATTTAACAAATATATATATTAACGTAGAACGTTTAAAAAAATCACAATATTTTAAGTAAATAACTAAATAACTTTATGTACATGTATATATATTTTAGTTGGCATGACGTAAAGATTGCAATCACGGATCAAAAAATCAAGTACATAAATCTCAAACTAGCAGGTCTTATCACGGGAAATCTATATAATATAGATTTCGTATAAATAACTGAAAGAATCAGTTATATATTTTGACGATTTTTTTACCTTTTTACCGATTTTTATAATTTTCTTGAAACGTCTTATTACTTTAAAAGTGATTTCTCAGAATCACTTATTGTATTATGTATATATAATACTTTTGTAACTATATTTGTATAATTACATTATTTACGATATTTATATGTACCTTACCTTGTAATTATAGAATACCGTGTGCCAACATAATATACATATATAATATTATATTTACGATATATATTTCGCATAATATTCGTATAATATTATTGTATTTAAAACTTTTATTATTATATATATCTTATTATACCATTAGTAATAAAAAAGTGCATGATTTAACAATTTCTTAGCATTAAGACCCTTTATTTATTCCGTGATAGAACCTGCTAGTTTATGATTTATGCATTTATTTCACCTGTGATTGCAATCTTCTAAGAAATTGAAAAATTCATGCATTTTTCTAATTACGGGAAATTAATATTTATTGTGAAGTGTAACATTATTTGCAAACATATCAATGAGTGCAATATCATGATGCAGGGACACAATAAATATTTTTGTTCATAATGACAAAATTTGTATGAGATATATACAGGGTGAGTCATTTTAATCAATACACTCGAATATCTCGAAAACAGCACTCTTCAGAAAGAAATGTTTCAAACAAAAATTATAGGGTGTGAAGGGGGACATAAGATGGTAGCATTGGTTTGACCTTGGAAAGTCATTTGAAGGTCACATAAAAGTCACCGTCAATTTCTTAAATTGAACCCACCATTTTTCATTACATATTCTTGTAGCTTATCTCGAGAGCTTTCCAAAACACTACAGACAAATGTTTTTTCATTAAGTACTTTTTGAGTTATAAGGCTTCAAAGTTTGCAGTACTTCGATATAAAATGCAAAATATCTCGTAAAATATTTAGTTTTCGGTAGTCTTACCCTAATACTTTTATGCACAGGATAATGAGACAAAACTATTGGTACAAAGAAAACGCATTGTGATTGTTTATAACAAAAAGTGCATTGCAAATTACACATTTTTTATTATAAACAATCATACGTTTTCTTTGCACCAATAGTTTTGTCTCATTATCCTGTGCATAAAAGTATTAGGGTAAGACTACCGAAAACTAAATATTTTACGAGATATTTTGCATTTTATATCGAAGTGCAAACTTTGCAGCCTTATAACTCAAAAAGTACTTAATGAAAAAACATTTGTCTGTAGTGTTTTGGAAAGCTCTCGAGATAAGCTACAAGAATATGTAATGAAAAATAGTGGGTTCGATTTAAGAAATTGAAGGTGACTTTTATGTGACCTTCAAATGACTTTCCAAGGTCAAACCAATGCTACCATCTTATGTCCCCCTTCACACCCTACAATTTTTGTTTGAAACATTTCTTTCTGAAGAGTGCTGTTTTCGAGATATTCGAGTGTATTGATTAAAATGACTCACCCTGTATATAACAATAAAAAAATCAAAGAAAATATTAATGTTCATATATATATATATATATATATATATATATATATATATATGTATATATATATATATACAGGGTGACCCATTTTAACTTAGGCAGCCAAATAACTCGAAAAATAAGCACACTACGAAAAAATGGTTAGAATCAAAATTTCGTCATTTCGAGGGGGACGTATAATGACGTTAAAATCAGCCCCCCCACCCCTCCCCCTGGGCGGTGAGGGGGGGCAAGTTTGAAATCTTAAATGGGAACCCCTATTTTTTATTGCATATTCGGAATCTTTGGCTAAAAACACATACAATTTGTCTGAAACATTTTTCTCGATTCATGACAGATGGCGCTGTAATCGACGAAATTCAATTTCTTCGATTTCTCTTACTGAGAACCCATGCTTACGATTCTGCAATAAATTAACAATAAAAATACTACGTTTTCATTGTTAATACTCGAAATTAGTCTTAAAACAAACTTCTCATTATTTTTTATTACTCATTAATTACTTCTCAAGAAACTGCTTTTAGCGTGGACCCAGGAACAACGACGTGGACGTAGCAGTTTTCTGTTCCCTTCGGGGTGCTTGATTAACGTGAGTCCCCTCGCCTCTCACAATTCGGGGTGCTTGAACGTGTGGTAACCCAGCCAGTGAAGGCAAGGTCGTGTGGTGACCCAACCAGTTAAGGCAAGATTGCATTGTTATCAGCTCTCTCCGCATGGAGGAGATGCTCAAAGTGTGCACCATTATTTTCTAAGGATAACAGTAATCGACAGCGAAAGTTACGTTGTACATTTTCTAGCATTAAAGGAGTTATAGCTTCACAAGCTCTTCTTATTCTTTCCATCATATTCAATCGTTGGAGCTTCACTATACACTGCATCTTTAACGTATCCCCATAAAAAAAAATCAAGGGGGTTCAAATCCGGTGATCTCGGAGGCCACAGAACTGGCCCACCCCGCCCTATCCACCAATTTGGGAACCTTTGATTCAAAAACATCCGTACAATACGAGCATAATGAGCAGGAGCACCATCTTGTTGATACCATAAATTTAGTCTAACTGCAAGGGGAACATTCTCTAGGTATGCTGGCAAATCATTTTCGAGGAATTCTAAATACATTGGACTATTAATTGGACGTTCAAAAAAATGAGGTCCAATGACTTGGCCATTGCAAATGCCTACCCATACATATAAACTCCAACGATGTTGATTAAGCACCTCACGATACCAATGTGGATTTTCTGGTGACCAATAGTGGCAATTATGCCTATTGAGACTACCATTGCTGATGAATGTTGCTTCATCACTGAAACAAACATTACTAAAAAAATCTGGATTCTGATCTAACATCTCAAGAGCCCATCTACAAAATTGTACTCTGAGTACGTAGTCGGCCTCACTTAATTCCTGTACCAGAGTAATATGATACGGATGGTAATTGACTGATCGTAACAATCTATGTGCCGTAGTTTGAGGGATTCCCAGTTCTCGTTCTATTTGACGGGTACTAATATGGGGATTTTGATGAACCATAGCCAAAACTGCGAGCAATCTAGAGTCATTATTATTATGAAGTCTATTCCTTCGCCTTTCGCGATGAAGTGGATTATTACGAGATCTCCTTTCAATGTTTATAATTTGTTGATCAGTAGGATGGCGGCGATTTGGGAATCGCTCCGCATAAGTACGGGCAGTAAGTCTGTAATTTCTACTACATTCACCAAAGGTTATAAGAATATCGACTACTTCTGTAGGCGTATAATTTGCCATTTTACCAGAATTTTATCAGAGTACAAATGTTAAAAAAATACATAAACACTTGTGACTTTGGCACTAAATGGACAAAATTTTGGAGGGATACTTAGAGGAACTCCATCAGATGGAAAGTCCAAAATGTCTCGGTACTTCGGACCATCCAAGTTGCCTAAAGGGCAGGTTACGCTAAAAGCAGTTTCTTGAAAAGTAATTAATGAGTAATAAAAAATAATGAGAAGTTTGTTTTAAGACTAATTTCGAGTATTAACAATGAAAACGTAGTATTTTTATTGTTAATTTATTGCAGAATCGTAAGCATGGGTTCTCAGTAAGAGAAATCGAAGAAATTGAATTTCGTCGATTACAGCGCCATCTGTCATGAATCGAGAAAAATGTTTCAGACAAATTGTATGTGTTTTTAGCCAAAGATTCCGAATATGCAATAAAAAATAGGGGTTCCCATTTAAGATTTCAAACTTGCCCCCCCTCACCGCCCAGGGGGAGGGGTGGGGGGGCTGAACATATAGTTGTTTCGAAAAAAAATATATAATTTGCAATTAACAATTACATATTTTTTCTTAAAAATAACTATGTCTTTTCTTTACACCAATTGATTCCTCTCATTATTTTGTACATAAAAGTATTAAGGTAAAATAATCGAAAAGTGAATATTTTACAAGATATTTTACGGTTTATGTAAAATTAAGAAATGATTTGAAGCATCATAACTCGATAAATGCTTGAGGGAAAAATATTTTATTATAGTGTTTTGGAAAGCTCTCGAGGTCAGCTATAAGAATATACAGTCAAAAATAGGGGTTCCTATTTAAAAAAAACACTTTGACCTTCAAATAACCTTGAAGGTCAAGCTCAAGGTCAAATTGAAGGTCACCGTTGAATTCCTCGTTGAAAATTACTTCAGAAATGACCTTGACCTTTTTCAAAAATATCTTACATGAGAAAATATTCAGCCGTCCCGGGACTTAATTGACACCCTGTATATATACATATATATATATGTATATATATATATATATAGAAATTTGAAATAATCAGAACTCACACACAAATCGGGATTGTGATAGTTCTTGAACACCAAGATTTCAGAACACGTATAAAAAAATACGTTTACTTGATAGTACAAGGCGACAAGATTATCTGATGAAAGTAAATGTCGCGAAATAAATGAACGGCGTAAAACAAATTAAACGGCATGAAACAAATAAACAAATGCCGAGTGTGTCTCATTGTCTGTTCATCCAAGCACGGCGACAGATCGAACATGTCTCGTAAGTAAATCATTATTTATACAAAGATATTAAGAAATAATTTAATCTTTAATTTCTATTTTAATTTTTTTCTTCATAATTTTATAGAAGATATTAATGAAGAGATGGACGCTTTGGTGCTGCAAGATGCTGCGCAGCCAACAATGCAGCAGCTGATGCAACAAATGTTGCATCAGCTGCAAATATTTATGCAGCAGCAGAAGCAGCAGCAGCAGCAGCAGCAGCAGCAGTCGTCGCAACCGCAGCCGCAGGAAGAGGAGCAACAGCAGGAACAAAATGGTACATTATTTTTTATATTAAATTATATTTAATAAATTATATATATACAGGGTGTCCCACATAGAAGTGGCCATCCCCTTTTATCTTTTAAACTAAAAGAGATAGACCATAACAAATAAATATGAAATGGCATACACCTATTTATATATATACAATTTAATTAAAAACAAATATAAAAAAATAGATGAATATTTATAATGACAAATATATATAATTAATGTTTAATAGCTTTATTGTGAGTATAGTGGTTGATTACAAATTTATTTGTATTAAAGAACGGAGAGATATGTATAATTTTTTTATAATAATGTAGATATTTTGATATAATAAAAGTTGTAGCGCTGTTTGAAACGAATATAACGATATATAATTTAATGTAAATATTTACATATTATACGAGATTTTCCGGCTTGAATTATCGCGGGCGACGTCCACCATTTCATTTTCGGCCTTGCGATATAGCCAACTTCTGACTGAGTATCATAATTAAATGACAACATGACATATGTCAACCTCTAATGCACGAATCAGAAGTTAGCTATATCGCAGGACCGAAAATGAAATGGTGGACTTCGCCCGCGATATTTCAAGCCGCAAAATCTCGTATAATATGTAAAATATTTACATTAAATTATACATCGTTATATTCGTTTCAAAGCGCTACAACTTTTATTATATCAAAATATCTACATTATTATAAAAAAATTATACATATTTCTTCGTTCTTTAATAAAAATAAAATTTGTAGTCAACCACTATACTCACAATAAAGTTCAGTTAAAGCCATTTAATTTCATATATATTTGTAATGGTCTATATCTTTTAGTTTAAAAGATAAAAGGAGGTGGCCACTTTTAGGTGGGACACCCTGTATATATATACAGGGTGAGGCATCTAAAACAGGCCACCTGAATAACTCCGTTGGTAAGCCGAATACAAAAAAATTGTTCAGACAAAAGTTGTATGGTTTCAAGGGGGACATATGATGGTGTCATTAGTTTAATCTTGAAGAGCCATCCGAAGGTCACGTGAAGGTCAGCTCCAACTTTTTAAATGGGACACCTTATATGCTTTTGCATATTCTTATAGCTCATCTCAAGAGCTTTCCAAAATACTACAATTATGTTAGTTTTCATTAAATACTTTCCAAGTTATGAGGCTTGAAATCATTTTTTAATTTTACATAAACCGTAAAATATCTTGTAAAATATTCATTTTTCGATTATTTTACCTTAATACTTTTATGTACAAAATAATGAGAAGAATCAATTGGTGTAAAGAAAACACATAATTGCTTCGGACAAAAAAATGTAATTGTTAATTGCAAATTACATTTTTTTGTTCGAAGCAATTATGTGTTTTCTTTATACCAATTGATTCTTCTCATTATTTTGTACATAAAAGTATTAAGGTAAAATAATCGAAAAATGAATATTTTACAAGATATTTTACGGTTTATGTAAAATTAAAAAATGATTTCAAGCCTCATAACTTGGAAAGTATTTAATGAAAACTAACATAATTGTAGTGTTTTGGAAAACTCTTGAGATGAGCTACAAGAATATGCAAAAGCATATAAGGTGTCCCATTTAAAAAGTTGGAGCTGACTTTCATGTGACCTTCGGGTGGCTCTTCAAGATTAAACTAATGACACCATCATATGTCCCCCTTGAAACCATACAACTTTTGTCTGAACAATTTTTTTATATTCGGCTTACCAACGGAGTTATTCAGGTGGTCTGTTTTAGATGCCTCACCCTGTATATATATATATTGCGACGCTTTTTCAATTCAAATTTTTATTCTCGCGGGGGAGCGGAAGCGCCGTCAAAAACACAAGGGTTTTGGTGTACTCGCGATCGGCGGGACAGGGATGGAGGGTGTCCGCGCGCGAGCCGCGGCGGAGCGAAGGCCGTCTCGTTACCTCAGAACTGGGCGCCAGGTACGGTCTCTCACGTACCAGTTTCACAAATTCTTCGAGAAGCGCGAAAGAATACGACAGCCCGCTTCGCCACGGGCTGGCTAGCTCGCCTAACGGTAGAGGAGCGGGGTTTGAAAGAAAAAGTTAATTGATTGGGCGAGCTTACTAAATCGACAGACAAAGACGGACACAGAAATCACAGCTGATCGCCAGCCAAATAAAGAACGCGAGATTTAATAAAAATAAATAACAGATTTATTTAGAGAGAAAATAATAAGAAAAGTGATTAACAAAAAGAAGTAAAAATCGATACAGAATAGAGACAGAAATAACGTACTAGACATGAACTGACAATAATTCTCGAAACGCTAGAAAAACGCGCGATATTCTAAGGCGGTCTACCAAAGAGCGTCTATTACGGAAGCTTCCTGAAGTCGAAGCTCCTGAGAACAATAATTCCTATACAGAACCTTGATAATTCAAATTCTCGATAACGGTCGTATCATACGCGAGAAAGAGAGAGTGCGATAATACCTGCCTATCCTTCGCAGCTTCGACAGCCTCGCGGAGATCTTACTAATTAACTGCGTATCTCGCAATTTCCTCCGAGCGTACTCGAAGTCGACAACCCAGAAATAAGACGGCCGATTAGTTACGCAATAAGCGAAAAGATATTAGTTCCGCGAGGAGAGATCTCGCATACGACTGGCGGACGATACCGGCGAAGTTCGATAGCCGGTGGCGGTCGAAGATATTTCCGCCTTTTGCTGCGACGCTCGCAACTTAAATATTTCTGGCAATCGGGGCGATGCGACAATGTCGTGTCACACCCCCGATACCTTCGACAGCGTGAGAATTAATTATCTTCTCGGTCTCAAGGCAATAAGGAAGGCCGGGCGACAGTCCCGCACCGCGCCTCCTTCGATAGCCGCAAAATTCGCCAGGAGTTTCCTGACCTCCGATATCGATACTTAGAATCGTGCGATACCCGCACACCGCGACAATTTCGAGGAATTACGTTTCTCTTTTCGAGACGAACAACTCACACGCACACAATGGACGCGACAATAATACGCAGTTTCGCGCAATATTCACGAACGACAATTAGATTACACGAAGACTCATTACTCACGACCAACTACGTTCCATAGGCTCGCTCTGAGACATTTTTCAGAGGTGCGAGACGCGGCTTCGACAACCAAACGACAGCCCGTGCGAACTACGCATTTCTCGCGATTTACGACGCACGCGGTCGATACCCAACGGTCGAATGCTACGCGTATTACGCACCCTGACACCCGGAGAGAGACGAAGATTACCCTACGATACGCACTTCCGTCGCCCGTGTCCGCGCTTCCTCGGTCGCTTATCTCCGGTCGCCCGAAATCCACAAAATTCGACCGACTCGGCAGAAGGCTCGAGCGGTCGCGATAAATACCGTAATGGCGACGGCGATAGAACGGCCGGCGAGCGGACACAATCACGCTCGCGGAGTACCAAAATTACGTGGGCAACCTCACCGATGA